CTACGCACCACGCCACACAGCGATCCACACACGTAAAACAACCCCATCACATAAAATTTTTACTCTTTCTAACTTTTCTAAATTCAGAGTTAATAATTTTCACGTAAGACCAAGACGTGCATAAAGGCTGGTTCTAAAGTTACGAGTGTCGTACGCGAGCAAGATACATTGGCCTAAAGTTCCAACCCCCTAGGTTTCGTGGTTCTCAAGTTAATTTTGACGTTAAAACTTTCGCTCATCCATATCTGGGACTCAGACATGCGCAAGGATTGAATATATACGTAGGCATGAGCACTGTTCTGCAATTTCAGCTTCCTAGTGTTTGTGGTCCGGGGCTATTAATTATGACGCTAAAAATTTCATGTGTTCTTACGATCTAGGCATGAAGGAGCAGTGAATAGTTTGAATCTGCGTAGTCATACGTGTGCAGGGGACATTCTCCTAAAATTCAACTTTCTAGCTTTTCTGTTTTCCAAGTTAATGATTTTTGCGCCAAAATTTTCAACTATCCGTATGTAAGATCTAAGCGGACGTGAAGGATGAATTTGACACTATGGCCTCACACGCGGACAAGGGCCATTATCCTAAAACTTAAGCTTCTAATCTTTTATACTTCCCAAGTTAATAACTTAGGCACCAAGACGTTCGCGCGACCGTATGTGAAGCCTAGGCGCGCGCATACGCTGAATTTGAGTTTACAAGATCATATCCGGGTAAGGGCTTCCCTTAAAATTTCAGCTTTCTTGCTTATCCAGTCCCCGAGTTGAAACTTTCGGATAAAATGCAGTTTAACCGCTCACACAGGCTCTCAAAAATATGCGTTTTGTGTAATTGCTGCAGCACAAGAAGCATTAAAAAATATGTTTAGCCCTCCTATTTAAAGGTTTCTTTGTCTATCTGTAGGTACCGAATGCGCCGAAATGCAAACTCCGATGAGTGTACATGACGTGCTATATAGAGCGACACTCTATTCTACTGCGCGGTGAAAATGGCCCCGTATGCGTGCAAGAGACTGCGTGTTGTGTGACTGTGTTAGTTGAATTTTACGAATGTTTCTACTGCACTTGAAATGCAGCAACACTGTAAATTAAGGTATAAGCAAGTTCGCTCAACAACCTAAAAGTGAAGAAGTGCTGCTACCCTTGAGCGCTACACATATAAAACGAGTGACGTGAAAAACCAGCCTCACCTGATATGTTTCTTTAGCATTGACGGTTTTTTACAACGTATTCCACACCGATCGCAGACATATCGACCTCGCCCCCGTCCTCGAACATACACGTATAATTCATCGGTACAGTAGCCACCTGCTATTTTCTGGGACAACGTTTTTGATGGCTCGTTCGCGGATACTTCGACAACACGCTGCACTCGTTTTTCGTCCAGTCTAAACAGTGAGCAATGCACATTTCGGACACAAGTGAGGAGAGCACTGGAAGGGCCTCTCAAACATTCTTACTTTTAGGCGTTTTGTGTTGCGCAACAGCTGCTCAGAACGTACACTGTCAAGCTCCTGCTTGTGTTGGTGTGTGTGTGTGTGTGTGTGTGTGTGTGTGTGCGTGTGTGTGTGTGTGTGTATCCGAATGCATTTTGTTCCTCTTTTCAAGCCGAGAATTACAAAAGCTAGGAAGCTAGTAATTTAGAATGTTCCATGCCCTCATCTGATCTCGCAAACTTATATTCAGCCTTTAAGTAAGTCTAGGCCTCTAGGAACGGTCAAGCGTAGGTTTCGACAGCAAAATTAATAACTCAGAAGGCACAAACATTAGAAAGCTGGAAATTCAGGAGGATTTTACGCAACCAACTGCGATGCAGAAAATTCAAGATTCAGCTTGCACATGCGCCTTCGTTTCACTAAGAATGTGTATACTTTGGCGGGGAATTTTTTAACTCCAGAACCAGATAAGGCAAAAAGCCGGAATTTCAAGATAACGTTTCCATCCCTTGTGCGATCCCGGGAATTCTAAACTCTGATTCCACGTATGCCTGGATCTCACATGTGTAAAAAGATAAGTTTTG